ACTTCTGATCAGATTGGCCGGTGACCACCGTCCACCTCCTCCCCTCCAAGGCTCGGGAGGGAGCTGAGCGCCGCAGGGCTGTAGGCACGAAGCACAGAGCTTCGGCTCCCCCGGGAAGGAGCAAAACCTGCTCCGTCCAGCTCATGGCAGCGCTCCATCGCTTTGGAGGAAGCTGAGCTTTTGCTGTGCCGGGTATTGCTGCCCTTCAGCCCCCTGGGGTCGGCAAAACTCGGATTAAACGTGCTCCGGGGCAGCAGAGCAGGGAGCGCTGCTGCGGGGTGCTGTTTGTCTTCAGTGTGTAACCGTGCCATGGGTACGCTTCTAGCGAGGAGAGGGCTCTTCATCAGAGCGCTCTCTGCCCTCCTGAAAAGACGGCCGCCCTTTCTGCTCTGCTCAGCAGGAGCGCAACGACTAACCGCGCGGCGCGAGAGCGGCGGCTCCACGCTTGCCCCCTAGCGCGAGCCACTTTGGAGAAGCAGAAAGAACAGGAGCAATTTACCCAGCCACCTTCGCACTACCCCTTTCAGCAAAACTCCCAAGGGCAGACGGGGGGCCGCGGCAGGCTCACGGCGCTGCTGAGCCTTCAGCTGACGCGTTTGCAGTTGCACCCAGCCGCGGCTGGATTTACGCTGGTGATTTATCGCCAATCTCCTCACCTACCCCTGAGGCACATTTGTCACAGTTAATAGTCACTGAGTGAATTAAGCATGACAGTGGATTTAAGTAATGCGCTCTGGCCCTGCCAACTGGTCTGGCTTTGGCATCGTGGCTTTTCCATCCTTTTTCCTGACCCTTGCTGCCGTGAGCAGATCCTCCCCACGTCCCCCGCCAAGGCACCCCCTTTTCCTGGGCTGCAAAACAGCCGCTGCGGGCAAGCAGCCATCCTGCCCCTCCAGCGAAGCACTTTGCTCTCCAGAACAGCGCTTTTCTTCCCTTCGGGTTTTGGTTTCCCGAGGGGAGGAGGGTGCTTCAAAGGACGTTTCCAGCTACGAGAGGGGCCCCCAGAAGCTGTGGCAGGGACGTGACAGCCCGCAGGAACCTGGCAGCCCAGCTGCCGCGGGGAGCTGCCCGCTCCCACCAGCACAGGGTGGCTCGCTGCCTTGGGACGCTAATTTAATGAGTTAGTGGACCGTGTGCTTTGCCGGCAGTCGGCAAGCTGCAGGGTGCTGAGCGGGGCGGCGCTCCCACAGCCCGAGCGGCAGACCTGTCCCATCCTGCCTTCTCCCCCGCCAAGCGGGAGCCCAGCTGGGGGCCCAGGCGCGTTTGAACCCTGAGGCAAAAGAGCCAAACTCAAAGCTAAAGCACAGGGTCATGGCAGAAGCCTCCTGGCAACTGTCTCCTCCGTGACCTGAGCGGATGCGGTTTCTTCTTTGGAGGACATTTTTTGGAAGCCCTCCTGCCCTAAATCCAGTCCCTCCTGCCTGCCATGGTCTGGTGAGGATGGAGGCACCCATGGGTGCGGACTAGCCTTGCCAGGAATCACACCTCCAGGAGGGCTCTGCCTTGACCATAAGGTGCTTTTCCGCCCTCTGATCCTCACGCCCACCCTGGGAGGAGAAGAGAAAACAATCCCACCCTGGGTTTAAAAGGAGAAACAGAGGACTGACTTACACGGAAAAGCGCCATTGCTGAGCCTGTGCTCCCACAGCCGGTCCCGCCTGGAAGAGGCACGCAGGAGCTGGAAAGCAGGAGAGGTCTGCATTTGAATTTAGACAGAGAAACTGCTGTCACCAATAAAACCGATCACCGCAGGACCCGGTGTGGTCACGACACGGCTCCATCACGGCACGTCCCACGTCCCAACATCATGCGACGGGGAGCGCAGAGGGAGCGCGAGAGTTTGACCTCTCTGCCCACGCGTTGCCCGGCTCTGACGCAACGCTCTCCAATCGCTACATCTCCGAGCGCTTTGCAGAGAAACTATCATCGCGGCCTCTGCGAAGAGGGGGGAGCCGCGGCCCGACGGAGCGACGCGACTCGCTG